CCCCTCTACTGAATTGGATGCCGATTCTTCAGACGGTCCAGAACGACAACCACTTGAAGAACTCCAACAGAGGTACAAATCCCTCCTTTCTCTCCTTCTCTTACACCACGTCTGATTATGAGCTTGTCCAGCGCCTCTGATCGCTCGCCCACCCGGAAAATAATAGAAATCGTCTTCAAACCACAACACAGATACCACCCCAAGTGGATCACACAGCTCTTGCGCGACGGCGCCGGGCGCTGGCTGGGCCTGCGCGTCCCCGGTTCCGGCGTACCAGTCGTCGCGCCCTTGCCACCGCTGGACGCACAGGCAGAAGACGAAGGCGAGGACGCAGACGGGGATCCCGCGGTGGAGTTGTACGCGCGTGCGCTGCGCAAGGCGCTCGCGCGCGAGCGGGAGCTCGAGCGCCTGTTGTACACCACGCGGAAGGAGGAGGCGGACCGAGCGCAAGCGGAGGCGAAGGCGGCGGCAGCGGCGCAGGTCCGCGTTGACCTGGGGGCGTTTGGCGCCCTTGAAGGGGTGTGGGTGCGCGGGGTGCGGGTGCGCGCGAACAGGGCGGCGGAGGGCAAGACGGATGGGGTGGAGACGAGGACGGAGACGGAGGAGGGGGGGGAGCTCGGGGCGTGGGTGTATGAGCTGCACGCGCTGGTGGGCTTTGTCGACGTCGAGGACGCGGTGCGCGCGCGGATGGTGTTGTCCGCGGAGGAGAGTCCGTACGCGGGCGCGGGGCTGCGGTTCGTCGAGGAGCCGTGGCCCGAGGCGCTTGGGCTCCCGTACGGGGGGGAAGCGCTCGGCGGGGACGGGGCAGAGGGTGCGGGAGAACTCATGGATGGCGGCGGCGCGCGGGAGGGGTGGGCGCGGCGGCTGGAGCGTCAGAATGCGGCAGAGGCAAAGGCAAGGGAGAGGGAGCGGGAGCGGGAACGACAGCGCGGCGCGGCGGAGGGGAAGTGGGGGAAGGAGCAGCTCAGTGAAGTGAGACAGCGGTTGCGGGCGCAGAGACAACTGGGGGCGGGTGCAGACAAGGATGACGACTCGTCGCTGTCGAAGCACACGGTAAAACGGAAGCTAACCGTGAAAGAGACACCGCTGGAAGTACTCAAGGCGCTGAACTCACTGGCCCTGAAGACGAAGCTACAGTCAAAGAGGGGGAATGTCATCCGGGAGCTCGCGCTGGAACCGCTCGCCCCCACGACGAAGGTGAAGAAAAAGAAAAAGGAGAGGGAGAGGGAGAAGGAGAAGGAGTTATCAGCGATCCATGAGCAATGGTTGCAGATGGCCCAGGAGGAGCTGGAGCGCCCTCTCCAGGCGAGGCCGGAAGCAAGTGCAGCCCCGCAGCAGGAGAGCCCTGCGAAGACGGAGCGGGAGAGCCTCGCGCAGGCGAACACGGACGCCGACGGTGAATCTGAGCCCACATGGCCCAATAACGAATCCTTGCCCGACCTGCTCCGAGTCCTGGACGAACAACCTTCTTCCTCCGCATCATCGTCGTCGGCTCTGGAGTCGGACCCTCCGGGCACATCATCCTCGGATTGGGACCTGAGCACGGTGCTTGGTGATACACTGACGGATCCGGAGGACGGGGTGGCGAGCGTATCCTCGTCGAGCTCGGACTGGGACCCGGATTTGGACATAGTCGTACCAGCTTCCGAGTCGTCGAATTCAGACTTGGACTTTACTTCGGCCACGTCTTCCTCGCCGGATGCCGCCTCAGACTGGGACCCGGACTTGGATTGGGACATCCCAGCTTCCGAGTCGGACTTGGATAGTGTATCTTCGTCAAATTTGGGCTCAGACTCCGATTTGGACACGTCTTCTTCCCCAGACTCGGACACGGACTCGGACAGCGACTCGGACCCTGACGCGGATGCGGAGGCCGACGTGCCACCATGCAATGCAGGCTAGATGGATGAACGGACCCTGGGAGAGGGAGCGGATAGCCATGTCCTACGGCCCCACACACTGGTCGCCGCGTTGCCCAGCGTCGTCCGCGGACGGCCGCGCTCGAGGGGCGCCAGAGGAAGCGGCCACGCGGGGAATGGAAACAGCGCTGAAGCGGGAGGGAACGCGTAGGGTGGGGAAGAGTTCAAAAGTACGCATACTCATCTCGCTGTAATGTACATGTACCGTGCTACATCTAGGCCAGACATAATCGCAACGCCATCTACTTCGGTTTGTCCTCGCGGGTTACGAAGGACAGCAGCTGCCCAGAGTGAATATCTTTCCGGTCATTTAACATGCGAAGCAGCCGGTGGTTGAACCCCGTTGATTGTCTTCATCCTTGCTGCAACCTAAAAACTGACCGGTATTCAACTCGAGCCCTAAGCCATACGAGCTCGAAATAAAGCTTTTGCTCTCATAAATTCTATCCACACCCTGACCAGAATCTATATCCATATTAATTTCATTCAGGCCGGAATATCCTAAGGGGCTCGAATTTCCTCTCCATCTTCCTCGTTTCATCTCGAGTACGAACACTGGCAGGGCAATGAAGGCTCGGTAGCGGGCCGTCCGCATCTGCAACAGAGATCGAGATCTCGTTAACGAGTACGCAAACGTTGCTCGTTCGACTCGAGCCCGAGCTCTAGATGCGGTAGAGACCCCTTTTTGTTTATCCCTCGATCCTTGCGGACTTGGTACATGGGAGGGTCCATTATCTACACCGGTGTTTGAACCCTGGTAGAGGGACTTGAGTTCTGGGCCCACTCATTCAGAGCGAGCGCTCAAATTCGGCCGAAAAACTCACCTACGTACTCGACGAATTCAGAGTGTATGGAAGGCTCGGTGGCGGGTGGTCCGCATCTGCAACACTTATCATGTGCGAATATATCTGATTACGCAGACATTGCTCGTTCGACTCGAGCCTGAGCCGCTTCAATTATTTTATTTTATTTTCGTTCATCCTTCGGTCCTTGCGGACTGTACATGTCTACGTGAGGGTCCATTATTTACACCGATATTTACTTGGAGGTCGAAATGGTGTGCTGGTAGAGGGTATTCGGGTCCAAGTTCGCCCACCCACTCCGAGCGCTCAAATTCCGCTCGAAAAGCTCACCCACACATTCCAGAAACGCAGAGTGCGAGGAAGGCTCGGTGGCGGGTGGTCTGCGTCTGCACCAGATAACAACTAGGGGAACCTGGAAAAATTAACCATGCAGAAGTCGCTCCGAGTCGTTCGAATCGAGCCCGAGCCCGAGGCATTCCCCATTGTCATTCTTTTTTCCCTTTTTTTCCCCTTTTTTTCTTGGGACTTTCTTCCCAGGAAACCACGGTCTGGACTGGCGGCCGTCCGACGCTGAACCAGAGCAGACAATCTGAGCAGAGGCACGGTTTCTCCACTCCGATCCGATCTATTACGACTTGATCCGATGAATGCCATCGACGCGCGCCGTCCTTGAGTGGAGTCTTCTCATATTCAAAAAACCAAACTACCTACGCATCTACCTACATAAATACTAAAACTACCTACATACGTACGCGGCCCAGGCCTAGATACAGCATATATAACGCATACAACAACAGCGACGGGGGGACAAAACTGAGTGAGTAGAGCAAGACGGGCGGGTCTGGGATTGGGCGGCGGGGAGGACTAGGAGGAGGGAGCATATGGGGCACGGGGGCATGGATATGGATGTGGATACGGGCGCAGGACGCAGGAAGGAGGTAAGGGAGGAAGTGAGGATGAAGAGAGGAGTAAGAGTGCGAGGGCGATGGGAAGGAGGGAAGCTACCGCGGCCACGCGCGTGCGAGTGGGAAGGTCGCCGCGCGGTGCGGCGACGGGTGCGGCTGGGGCTGGGGCGTGAATGTGGAGGCCGAGGTCTCAGAGGTGGGGGCAGGTGTGGTCTGAGGTGTGGTCAGCAAGGATTGAGGGAAGGAAGGGGAAAGGGGAGGGGAGGGATCGGCAGGACGCGCGCGATGCGCGGTGATGACTAGGATCAAGAGAGAAAAAAACTGACAGCGTCGCCCATCTCCACGTCTTCGTCCTCCTCCCCGCCGCGCCCCCCGCTCGCAGAACTAGACCCCGGCTCGCAGAACTGCGGCTGGAACGCGGGCGGGATGACGAGCGCGGGGGCGGCCGCGTCCGGGGGGCGCGCGGTGCCCGTCGCGACGAGGGACTGGAGGTACGTCTCGAGGCGGAGTTCCTTGTGAGCGGGGTTAGTTGGGTGCGATGAAACAAGGGACGTTGGGAACGTACCTCAAAGCTCGTACTCTCGAGGCCCGGAATCGCGGTGATGCTCTGAAACATCTCCCCCTCGGGCGCGCGCTGTGCCGCCCGTCCTCCCTTCCCCCCGCGCATCTGCACTCGCGGGTCCCGCGTCTTCCCCGCATCCCGCACCGTCCCTGTCCCCTTCACCACATCCCTCCCGCCCTCCACCTCCATCATGTGCACCTGCACCGGCGGCTGCGGCGCCGACGCCGCGCGTGCCACCCGCCGCGCGCCCGCAATCCGCCGCGGGGGCGCCGGCAGCGCGCGCTGCAGCCGCAGCAGCGTCGACACGTACCCGTCCTCGCTCCCGTCGTCCGAGTCGTCGCAGTCGAACGCGAGCTGGCAGAGGTCGAGCGCGCGCAGGTCGACGACCGCCGCGCGCGGCTCGCCCGCGCCGGGCTTGCTGCTCGGGTCAAAGTCGGCGGGCATGCGGACGGGGGTGTGGAGGGGGTGGGCGGTCAGGTCGGCGGGGAGGGGGAGGTCGCGTGGGGTGTAGTAGTGGTCGAGCATGCTGCTGTGCGTGGCCAGGAAGTCAGAAACATGGATTTCGCGGGAGTTGTTGCGGCCTTGGGGGGTTATCTCAGATTTTTATGATTTTTATGGCATTCACAAGAGCGCGGTTGGCGCCATGGTGGTGGTGGAAGGAGGAGAGAGGGCGTGTGACTCGTCTCTGCTGGAACGGTCACGCGACTGGCTAGGTCTAGACCCGGGTTGGGACGCGTTTCAGTGTTCAGTATATACTACTTATAAGCAATGGAAGGATAGAAAAAAAAAAGAATATACGATCTATCATCTACGGCTCAAGCCCGATTCGAACGAGCGGCTTCTGCGAACAGATGTCAAAACTTATTCATTGTTTGCAGATGCGGACCATCCGCTACTGAGCCTTCCTCGTTATTTACCCTGAATAGGCGGGTAAGTTGTGGTGTTGGTGGGATTCAGGCAGATTCCAAGCCAGCATTCGCGTCGATGATGAATTAATTGACACTGTTCCCCAAAACGCCCTCCTTTCATCAACGATATGGTTTTTGAATTCAACCAACTGTTACGTCGGAGATGCATACACCTGTTCTGAATGAATTTAATCCAGAGCTCGGCCTTGACTTTCTCGTTGAATGATCCTGGTTTCAATTTGTCAGGAAAATTGGTGTTTTCGCAGGAGTAAAAATAATGCATCCCCGCCGTTCTGTGGCTCGGACTCGATTCGAACGAGCGATATCTGCATAATGGACGTGGAACAAGAATCAATCCTTGCAAATGCGGGCCACCCGCTACCGAGCCTTCCAATTCACCTGGTGGCTCTGAATAATATGTGGGCACCTTTTGAGACGATAATGTTGGATGTTCAACCAAGTGTTGCACCTGGTTCTGAATAGATTTAATCCCAGAGTTCAGCCTTGACTTTCTCCGTTGAATGATCCCGGTTTCAATTTGTCAGTATAATTGGTGTGGGCCAGCAAAAGGGAAGTAAAATCTATTCGTCAAATCTATTCGTCTCCGACGCATAATGGCTCGGGCTCGAGTCGAACGAGCGATATCTGCACAACCACTGACGGCTAAATAATATGTTGCAGATGCGGACCCTCCGCTACCGAGTCTTCCTGGTTACCCGTCGACTTGGGACATGTGGATGACTTTTGAGACGGGAATGTTGAGTGTTCAGCAAATTTTGCATAACGCACCTGGCTCCGCATAAAACAAAATTTATTGGCAGATTTCGGCCTTGATTTCCTAATAGCGAGACTGCTGTGTTCCGACAAAAAAAGATTTGTTACACCTTAATAATGGCTCGGGCTCGATTCGAACGAGCAATGTCTGCATAACATGACTATCTCCTTGATGTGCTGCAGATGCGGACCACCCGCTACAGAGCCTTCTAACTCCCTTTGAGCCTCGAATATCTGCATATCTGGGCGGTAAAGCACGTAATGCGTTGCAGATACGGCCACCGCTACCGAGCCTTCCTCGTTGTCCATGGAGGATCTAGTTTCAATCTGTCAGTATAATTGGTGTGTTTCGGAAAAAGGAGGGGCTCGCCCTTTATGGCTCGGGCTCGAGTCGATCGAGCGCCGTCTGCATAGCAAGGCGGCGACGTAATGTGGTGTAGATGGGGACCACCAGCCACCGAGCCTTTCTTGCGCTATGTGTACCCTGAATATCCGAGAGAGCTTTTGGGGTGGGTGGATGAACCACAATCTGTTTGTGAACATTGCAGTCAGAACTCTCCTATTCCCTCTTTACGAAATATTAAATTCAATTCCAGTAAAGGAATCAGAGTAAAAATCGTTCAGCGTGGCCGAATGGCTCGGGCTCGATTCGAACGAGCAACTTACTGTACACGGATGAGATGAAGTGTTGCAGATGCGGACCCTCCGCCACCGAGCCTTTCTCAGCCTGTTTGTACTTGCAATACGTGGCTGGGTTTTCAGACCCAGTCGGGCGGAACGCTTGTCTACTGGACGCAGGCGTCTTTCTCTATAATAAAATCACATATATTTAGGTTTCGCATCACAAGCAGCCTTCAGATGGAATGGAAATGGAAGAAAGAAACGAAAAGAAAAATCCGGGCTCGATTCGAACGAGCGAGTTGAAAAATGACAATGTCGCAATGTGGGCACATGCGGATCGTCCACCTCTGAGCATACCTGGTTTCCTGTTTACGTGAGTGATTTTTGAGTCAGGAACAGAAGATCTCAACCTTCGACCGCGTTGAGATCTGAGATTATCTAGGATGTGGTTTGGAGATCTGGATCCGAATAAAATTGAATTTCACATTGGCGGCCCTTCGTCGAAAGACTGCTTGGCGTTCAGCAGCCGGTCGGTCCACCAAGTGCCGCGAACTCGGAGAAAAAAATGGAACTCCGTGGCCAACACTAGTATCTATATGACCTAAACCAGATTCGCGTCAATAGTCGAGGTTTACACGAGAAAATGTACTTGCCTTGGGTGCTAGACTCGCAATCTTCCCCCACCCCTTCATCCGCAGGTCCGCGCTGACGACGCCACCGATCCGCGTCCCCAACATCTCGCGCTTGTTGTTCAAGAGAACGGCAGCGTTGTCGTCGAATCGTATGAGGCGGCCGTCCGGTCGGCGCACAGGTTTCCTCGTCCGGACGATGACGGCGCGGCGCACGTCTCCCCGGCGCACTTTGACGGCCGTGACGGAGGCGGATGCTGCGGCGGATACTGGCCGCGCACGTTGAACGACAACGACAATCTCGTCGCCGACGGAGCCCCAGCCGTTATTGACCTTTTGCTTCAAAACGTTGACGCACTCGGCCACAAGGGCTCCGGAGTTGTCTATAATCTGGGGGTCCAGGTGGATTAATGTAATTTCTTTTCAAGGACACAGAGGCATAGACTTGTACATTTAGCGTTCCCTTTAGCCCAATCATGAGGCCGGGGTACTTCGTGGAAAGGTCAAAGAAGATTGATCGGAAGAAGGAGGCTCGGCTCGTATGTCGGCACGGTCACGCGACTGAGTAGACGGCGTTTTGTTGAGACGCGTCGCGCAATGACCACAGTAGTGACGTATATGTATACGCACCTGTGGTTCAACTGAGGAACACCGGAGAAAATTGTATACTAGTCCATCCGAACCCGAATCTCAGCCATGACCTTCCGACTCATACATCTCAGCCGGGTCACGGTTCAAATGAGTCGCCTCAGGCTACTACCTCAGTTCCGCTCTCTCTGCTCTGTTGGCCTCTCAAATTTACAGCGCGTATGTCGAGGAAGGCTCCTCAACATGAGCGACGTCATCTGTGACGGGCGTGGTTGTCATCCTTTCGTTTGTCTTTCCCTTCTCCGTTTCCCTCATCCAAAACATACTCTCCACAGTCCACCATGTCTGATTCAGTCGTCACCGCCTACCACAACTTTGAGCCGCAGAAGCAGGGACAGAACCTCCCTGGAACGGACAAGGCGATGGAACCGTTGGCCGGTAAGCCCGCCCACATTCTCATGCTTCTTGTTGAGTACTTCTGGTCAGAGCACACCAGGATAGAAAAGTGGGACGAGAATGGAAAGCCGTATCTTGAAGAATACATTGGGTCAGGCAAATTGAAGAACAAGAAGGTTAGTATTCAGACTCGCGAGCAATGGTGGTATGAAATGCACTTATACGTAGATCATCATCAGCGGATCTGACAGTGGAATCGGAAAATCTGTGGCAATCTTCGCCGCGCGAGAGGGTGCCGACATGACCGTTGTCTATTTACCTGAAGAGAAAGAGGAGTGAGTTGCTTTCCCGCTGCAGGCCTTCCCCCACAATACTAATTGCACCTCCGAAGTGCGGAAGACACCATGTCCCGCATAGAAGAGGAGGGACGCGGCTGTCTCCTCGTCCCAGCAAACTTGATGAACGATGACGAGTGCAAGAAAATTATCGACAAGCACGTCGCCAAGTTCGGACGGATTGACGTTCTCGTCAACAATGCTTCCAAACAGATTCAGTGTCCCGACTTGGGTGAGTCGTTGTTGTATCCTTCGTCGCAGTACTGCAACACTGATAATTCAGCCGAAATCAATCTCGATAATGTCCGTTCAACATTCAACAGCAACATTGTTGGCATGATCGCTCTCACCAAGTTTGCTCTCCCACACATGAAGCGAGGATGCACCATCGTAAATTCTAGCTCTGTCACCGTGAGTAAAGACGGCCTACCGTAGAATCGCTTTTGCCATAAATTGGCATTGCTTCTAGGCTTACAAAGGCTCCGCGGGAATGTTGGACTATTCTGCAACGAAGGGCGCCAGTATGTCATCCTGTGTTCAACTCTGTGAAGTTCGAAAGTTACTGATTTCTGTTCTTGATGCCAGTCAGCACCTTCACGTATGTTTAGCTTGAATTCACCGGTGGGCGGTGGCTGATGAATTTGGATTGAATACAGCCGCTCCCTCGCCATGCAATTAATGGGCAAAGGAATACGTGTCAATGCCGTTGCACCAGGGCCCGTCTACACCCCGCTCCAGCCCGCCTCTCGAAGCGACGAGCAGATGGAGGGATGGGGTACAGGGACGGTTCCTCTTCACAAGCGGGTGGCACAGCCTGCGGAGATGGGTATGTGCTGTACGGCGCTGCTGTCCATTTTCACCAAATTAATTGCCTCCCTTTGATAGCCTCCTCTTACATTTTCCTCGCAAGCGCGGACAGCAACCAAATGACAGGTAGTGTTTTGCACATCAATTCGGGACAGCACGTTGGCGGGTCCTAATTGTGCTTCGAAAACATGCGTAGCCATTGAACATGTTAGGTGGCAGTAATGTACTTATCTCGGAAGATTGAACATGTCTGCCTGTCGTTCAGCTCTTCGAAACGTGACAGACGGCACCTGCAAGATCTCGAGGTAGTGGTCACCAGTCTGCCCTAAAGACGGCAATTCTAGGTGGCGCGCACTTTTTTTTTTTTTTTTTTTTTTGGAGCGTTTGGGATAATGATTTATACTCAGTCTGCAGAAGCATTCTAAGTCATCTGCTTGTGTTGCTGGATTATGACCAGTCGTTGCCAGGGAATTCGTCCAGGAGGAAATGCCGTTACGCACAATTTTCTAACCAGTGTGGGACTCCGACCTGTAAAACTATCCTATCCCAGATTTATCAGTCATTGGCCGCATACCCACTCAAACCCCCTCTGTGTATGTCCAGTCATCTGGCAGCGAGTCTTCATCCATCAGAGTTCCACTCCATGTGTTCAACACTAGCTGTTTGTTCAATGCTAGTGTACCAAATCTGATCTTGTCTGTCAAGATGCGGTCGCGCTGCAATACTTTGTTGACTGCTTTGAGCCATTGGTTATGGATGCTTAAATCAGAGAACACAGCTCCTGGATTTGTTATCACTCGGCTTACACGCATCCTCCATAATAGGTGCCATGCCACAGACACGA